TAGCAAGACTGTACATTACCTCCGGCAAGGTAGAAGACATCACAGCAGGTGATGAGCACTGAAACAACTGGTGGGCGGAAGGAAACATGATTGACCTGGTTGACAGGCTCAATGTATATACAGATGAAGAAACGTTGTTAATAAATGGAAATGATATAGATTACTAACCTTTATCCTTACTTCCCGTCCCACGAGACCAACGTTTACACATTGACATACAAATTAATGGCAATACATACAACGCACTAGTAGACTCGGGCGTACGACGCTCATGCATGGACAAGAGTGTAGTATCAGAACTACATCTCTCCATCAGAGCGCAACCGGTCTATATATAATTAGCAGAAACAGATGCAAAAATACAACGCACAGGGTCAACTCAAGTTTGTGACATTAATTATGGAGGTAGGAAAATCTCTCAGTGCTTTGAAGTGTTGGATCTACCAGACAAGAAGACACCAATTCTTCTTGGTATGGACTTTCTATCATACATAGGTATAAACATAGCAGGATTAATCAATCCACTTATACCAACAGATGCAAAAAAGGGAATCACTCCTCACGCCACATGAAGAAGACCCGGAGCATGAACAAGAATATTACAGAGAGTCACTTACAGACCTTTTAGATACCAATGCGAACATACCTCCTGACATACATTGCAACCTACCAGGCTCTATGGAAGTGGCTTACAGATGGGCACATCTACATACAAACTACTCCAACAACAGTAAATCTACCGTTGTTATCATCAGGTGAACATGACCATCCAGGTCTTCTCAAGAAAGTAAGAACATGTCTAGACTTACGCGAGATCAAATACCAATACGAACAAGATAAGTTTGTGTCACCTAAAATAAAGGAAGTACTACACCACCTTTAAGAAGCGCAATTATTTTCAAAGTTAGATCTCATAGGAGGGTTTCACCACTTCATAGTAGACTAAGCAAGCCAACACTTCACATTCTTGTGGAGAGGAGCGGAGTACTCATTCAAGTCAGCGCCGTTTGGGCTACACTCACTCACAGCACAGTTCCAGACAGTCATAGCAAACCTGCTCATAGACATCAAAGGTGTGCAGCTGTATGTAGATGACATATTCATTGCGATTCTTATAGAAGAACACCACAAGACAGTTCGTGAAGTAATCAAGCGACTGAATGGAGCAAAGTTCCGACTCAATCACAATAAGTGTGCCTTCGCGTTCATGGTGGTCAACATTCTAGATGTGAAAGTAACCACACAGGGACTCAAAGAAGATCCTGAAAAAAAGACTGGCCACTACCCGGATCAAAAAGAGATCTGCACACAGCGGTGGGACTAGCAAACTATATAGGCGACCATGTCCCCAACTTTGCCGACACTACAAAACAATTCCGGAACCTATTGAAAGAAAAAATGAACCTGAACATATTCGTGTCATGGACTATCAAAAAGAAGTGGGAAGAACTCAAAGAATCCATCGCATATTAGGCGACACTAGTCTACCCTGTTGATGGGGTACCGTTTCAAATCATAAACGATGCCAGTGACAATGGCATAGGAGGATGTTCTCTACTTCTCGAAAGACATGAATCCAGCACAACAACGCTATGGCACGAATACCAAGGAGCTACTAGCACTGGTAAATAGCCTGGAGCATTAAACCGAATACATTAAAGGATGGGACATAACACTATGGACAGATCATAAAGCACTCACGCCAATGAACAGTCAACAGATGTTACACCCAATGCTAGCCAAATGGATAGCAAAAACATTCCACCACCACTTCTCCGTCATACACATCCCAGGCAAGGGCAACCAGATGGTAGATATATTGTCGCGTCTACACGAAGACACTTCTAACACTAAAACCAAAAGGTATTAAAGGAAGCGAAGGAAACAACACGTAACAGCCAAAAGTACACAACCTTGGAAACTAACATGCCCATAACCATAATAGCCATAGACTGGATGTTACACCCCAGATTCTACCAAGAAACTAAACGTCGGTTTGGGGAATTCACAGTAGTTCTGATCGCATCGGCTCACAATGCACACACAGATAAATACTACATCAAAGAACAAAATGCGCTACTACAAAGGTGGGAGCAGGAAGTGAATGCATGGGCGAACCCACCATGGAAACTCATACCTGACGTCGTTGACAAAGTCATTGAAGAGGCAACAAGTATCACGATATGTGTACCCTACTACCTCTATGCAACTTGGTTTCCAAAACTCGCATCTGTACCAGAAGAAGACCCGATGCTAGTGGGAAACACGAACAAAACGTTCCTCAAAGAAGGCACAAAAGCATGTGACAAGACCCCATGGGTCGTCGCATTGGTAGCAAAGATAGGAATGAAATCTCCATACTTTGACTCAACGCGGGAACAACCTGCCATACATGTTGCAGCATTACATCCAGTTCCATCTGAAGATGCGCCACAGGCAACAGAATACGCGCCACGTGTCAACATTATCGAGCAGTAGCAAAACTTGGGAGATTACACTTCTGAGGAAACGGTAAACATGTTGCAGACGGATGGACATGATTGGCCACAAATCGAACAACATGTACATAAGTTCATCGAAGTATGCGTACCATCTCTCAAAAATAAGATATACAAAAAGGGATTCCATCCCTTACAACCAATCACAGTCGCATTCCCAGGCGACAAAGGCCAAGTGAACACCATTGGGCCACTATTGAACTCAAACAGAGGAAACACATGTGTTAGTATGGCTAAATGTACACTCGTCTTGTAACGTACGTATGTACGTAGGTCGTAGTGTATGCATTCATACACACGTACGTACGTACGTACGTACGTAGATAAGTAACGTACGTATGTACGTACGTATGTATGTATGTACGTACGTATGTATATATGTACATACATACATACGTACGTATATAT